AATTTCCAAAAAAAAAAAATTTAGGATACAAAAAACAAAAATAGTGCATAAACAAAAAAGAAAAGAAAACCCAGCCGCAAAGAAAGAAAAAAAAAGAGAAACAGAAAAACAAAAATATAAAGTCCTTTACAATCTCTATTGACTTCCTTTCTAGACTTCCTCCTCCTCCCCTCTTTTGTTTCTTAATTTTTAATTTTTACAGCAAATCCTTTCTGTTTTTTCATAACAATCTGTCATTACGTTTCCTTATTCTATTTTCCCTCTTGTCATATAAAAACTTTAAAACTCATAGCTTATATTCAATATTTACCAAATTCTTGCATCATTACCTTTTACTGAATCATTTACCAATAATTACATAAGCCATGTAATTTCATTCAACATCCTTCAAACATTTGTAAGCATTCCCAATATTAAAAAAATAAAAAAAGAAAAATTAATAAGTCGAATTCAGTCCAGTCAGCTTCCAACCTCCCCTCCCCTGGACCCGGGATTGTCAGTCCTTTTAACCTCCCTTAACCTGGTTGTCTCGTATCCGAGGCCCTCAAGTCTCTTTCTTGCCCCTTTCGCCACTCTTGTTGATGATTCCTTTCCAGTCGTGGATGCTCCAGCAAGAAAATGCTCTTGACCCTTTGCAGCAAGTCCATCCCAAACCCATTGCCCAAGCCAGACAGCAAATAATACCACTTCAAATTTCCACAAAGCTTGGAGACTTCGGCTACTCCAATCCTCTGATAGCCCATCACCAGACTCGGAAGGTCCAAATAACCATATGGAGGGGGATCGATCCATCCCCCCATTTCCAAATCTGACCACATTTCATCTTTCCGAATCTGGTTTGTCCCAAGTTCATTTATCAAGTTCAAAGGCTGATCTTGCCCGTCCAAAGGTCCCTCCATCTCTGAAGCCTCCGTCACTACAGCAGGTTCATATGCTTGTATAGCCTTTAACTGAATTTCATTTGTTTGCTGCTGTGCTCTGGTAACTTCCATCCTCAAGGTCGTCTCCTGACGCATCTGGTCCAGCTGGGCACTTAGTTTTGAAAAACCTTCCAGGAACAATTGTTCAAGCCTTTGTACTAGCATTGTCCTTCAAGGTCAAAGAAAATTCTTTCCCACGAGAGTAGTCCAATAGTCCTTCTCTTTTAATCTCTCTGCGTTGCAATTTCACTAAATTCCACTAGATGGAATTTTTTTTTTTTATTTAAAAGGAATAAAAGCAACAGCAACAATCTTTCTTTTTCCAGAAACACTTTATCCAAAATTCCCCCTTCCAAATTCAAGAGGCAACAGTAGAATCAAAATGTTACCCTTCTTTTAACTAACTGTCGAGCTGGATAAACTTCAGAACGTCAATTCTGACAGCCCGCTCCTGGTTCAGGGCGGTGGAAAATTGCTTTATTTTAAACTCACTTCCGCAGGATTGAAAAGTCCAAATACAACCCCCTTTTTCTCCTGCTGTCAAAGGGGGTTCAGAAATCTTAGATGTTGAATTCTAGTTCTCTTAAAATTTAATTTTCAGGCTTTAGTATATTTTGTCTTTGCTTTCTTCACATAACAAAAGAACGGAAGGCGACTTCCTGTTTAGACCTTCCCATTCCGAGTCCCAATTAAGTTCAATTTCAAGTCCAATATTATTTGTTTATTCACCAGTCTTAAAAGTGGTTCAGCTCTTCTAAGATCAGGTACTCACGGATAGATGTTTTAGATGCCAAATTGTCCAGGAAAAAGGCAGCGCTCTCCGATAACGGCAGTGCGGCTTTGCTGCACGGAGGAAGCAGACGACTCACAGCACCACGCACCTCCCACTCCGGAGCCCGTTACCGGGCTCCTGTACAAGGGGAGAGCGCTCTCGGTGCCCGCCGAGTCCCACGTCCACAGGCTTCTTCCGCCTGTGGTTTTTGCGGGTCCCCGCTGCGCCGTAGCGGCAGGACCCAAGCCTCCGTGCAGCGGGTTCCCTTCAGTCCGAAGGGAATTCCGCCATTTTCCGGAGGCGCCACCCCGGAAGTCCTTAAGAGTTATTTTTTTACTTAAATAGTTATAAAGAACCTGTTCCTGTTTTAGTGGAAGAAATACGTTAATTGCAACATAACTAGAAATGTTGAACAATTCACACAATGGTTTAAATTTGCACTACAGCTAGCCCCTAAAATGGAAAAGAGCTGATTAGGCTACCACAACTTGCTGATGGTCACAACAGAAGCTTGCCTTTTGCCCTTTAGAAAGCTGAGTCTTCTGCAGCTTTTTGTGCCCCATAGGGAGGAAGAGACTGTTCAAGAAAACAAATCTAAATGCCTCTTGAGCTCGTATTCCTTGCTTGGTCTTTCTTTGGACCCTGGGCATTGTCCCAAGTGCATGCACTGATGTGTAACAGCCCTTTCCAGGGGGATCTGGCAGAGAAGGCCACAGAAAAGGAGAAGACCGTGCCTAAATTTCCTATAGGCATAGCGGGGATAGAATAAGAGTGGCTTCCAGGCCAGGAACCTCTTAGTAGTAGATGTGGGCTTTGAAGGGAGGAAGTGTCTGTGACTTGATGGCACAGGTCAGTGGTAAGAATACATACCTTGCATGCAAAAAGGCAATGGTTCGATCCCTGGTACCTCCAACTGAGAGACAGTTGAGAAGTGGGTGATGGGGAAAGGTTCTGCCTGAGATCCTAGACAGTCATTGGCCAAACAGAAAGCAGGTAATACTGGTCATGATAAACCTCTCATTCCGTGTAAGGCAGCGTTGTACGCAAAGACTAGATAGAAGAGAGAGATTTTCCATGCATAGGCAATAGGGATATGGTAGGCAAATCCTCTGTACTTACTGATTTATCACACAACGGTTTAAACAAGCATCAATCTAAACTATATATAATAAAACAATGGAGACAAACAGCATTGCAAAGTGCCTTTTGAAAGCTCAATGTTGTCACTCCTCAAGGCAAGATGGTTCTTGAGCCCTCTGGTGGCAGTTGGCGAGAGGCTGTGTTTTCTGCTGTTTGCTATTATTAAATAATAGGGCCCTTGTCATATCATCTTAGATCTGAATGTTTTCTAAAGGTTAGCATGGCTGGCAGTTTGAAATGTTACATTCCTGCAATTCAAATCAGAGAAAATCTCCCTCCTCCTCTTCCAGATTTTTATGACAACAATCATCAGTGTTCATTTTGGTTGTATCCAAGTCCTACTTAGAGTAAACCCATTGAATTTAATGAGCATTCGTTTCAGTGGGTCTTCTCTGAGTATGGCTAACTTTCAATTCAACTCCTTGGCAAGACCTTCCTTTCAAGCATAAAAAATGAAAGATAAGTGCTGCACGCAAAGATCATTGTGGAATACGGATGTTTATTTGGGCTCTGAGAAATCTTTCTGAATATGTTTCACTTCTGGAACATTATTCCACAATGTACAAAACATGAGACCATGTATTTCTTCGTCATGAAATGGTGATAGCAAGATGCGTTCTGATACACTGTTCTGAGGATATATTAAGCCATAAATTTAATAAGGTCATCATAAATGTGACTAGCATTTCCCATCTTCAGATCTGTGTCTTGCTAACTCAATGTTAGCTTACTAATGTTAGATCATTGCTGATGTAATATCACCTCAGGAAAATGAACTTTTCACTATATAATGACTTAATTCCAATTAACCAACGCATTGAGTGTACTGTGGATGATTTTGAAGGGTAGTGTTTATAAAACATTGATCTGTCTTCAAGGCAAGTCTCATGCTCTTTATACTGAGAATGACCCAAAGCCATTGCTGTCAGTTTTCAGCAAAAGGCACCCCCCTCCCTGCCCACCCCCCAGGTCAAGATGCATGGAAACCCAAGCCCACTAAAGTTATTTTGACACCTGAGAAGGAAAGTCACCCAAGCTCATCTTCCTGGAAGTAAAAATACAACAACAATTAATGAAATAACAATTTGACAGGGAAGTGGGCTGCCTCAGACAGTTGATTTTAGGTGTCCTATACGGTAACAGCAAAATGTTCGTTTTTTCTGTTGTTTTAGGACACCCAAAATCAACTGTCTGAGGTGGCCATTTTCCTGTCAAACCATAGGGTGGGCCATGGCCTTTGTTTCAAAGAAATAGACATGGAAGACGTGATTGGCCATCTCACGTTATTTCTAGTACATAAGAGAGACAGACAGACAGGCTGCATTTGGATAACCCATTATAGCAGAAGGAATGGCTTACCATGAACGAGGAATGTGTTGGTGCTCCTCTTGCACTTCTTCCTTACTGCAACCTTCACATGTTTGCTGCTTATAGATGTGATATGAATTGTGTGAAATTAATTAATGCACAGCTTAAAATAATTAAATAGCAGTGGAAGAATCCCCTGGAAAGTACTAGCAGCATGGTGCATAAGGAGAGGTATTAACCGTGGCGGCAAAACTCCCATTGCCATCTGGAGGAATCTTCTGTCCCAGAAGTAAGTGTGCTTACAATAGGTGCAGGGGGTTAACTTCACCTTCCCATATGCAGTAGTCCCAATCCTACTTCAATTCATCAGCAGACACTATATTGTTTAAAAGTGCACATTAATTGTCTTCCTGCAGCTAACTTCATGCGTTGTCTGGCTGTTAAGAAATGCTTTGCGGCACCAGCCTTGAATCTAGATCAGAGATGTTGGTTTTAGAGGTTAATCTATTTCAGCCAAGAAGACAAGGAATCCAGAGGCACCGTGCAGGCAAAAGTCACACCATAGGCAAAGCTGGAACATTTTGTTTACCCTTCAGTGATTTAAATGGGAGAGGGTTAAGGATCTTTATGATTCTTCCATTAAAAACCAATGAGGCTTAAAAGTGTTTGGCTGTAGTCCAGCACAGAATCAAGCATGGTTTAGCCCACAGATTTCAGTAGGCTTTACAGTGCAATTCTAACAATGCTTACTCAGAAGTAAACCCCTCTAAGTTTAATGGGAGCTTACACTTTAGTAAGTAGGTTAAGGTTGGCATTTTTTAGCATGCTGTGCTACAATTGTGGCTTCCCCCCCTTTGGTTGGATTGTGCTCAGTTGGTTAGAGTGTGGTGCTGATGACGTCAAGGTTGCAGGTTCGATCCCTGTATGGGGCAGCTGCATTTCAGGGGGCTGGACTAGATGATCCTTAGGGTCCCTTCTACAATTCTATGATTCTAGAATTTTAGTGTGATAATCTGTCAGTAGGTGCTTGGTCTTAAGGTACTTCAGGGGCTGCTCCAGATGATCTTTTCGCTGATCATTCTTATTTGCTTGCAGAAAGCTTGTGCAGAGGTAATACCATGCCTACACATTAACGAGGATTTCTGTTATGATTTGTTCACATGGAGGTTATAGTCTTCCCATCAATCTTATCCTACAGCCTAACAACAAAAAGTATCCCTTTTTTCATTAAAGTGAACTTGCTGCCCCAGTGTGCTTTAATCAACTATAATCGCGCAAACCTAAATTTCCGACTGAATCCTATCTGCAAAAAGGTGAGAGGCTGGAGGAGATCCAGAACTCTACTTCAGAAGTCCTGGTAAGAACAGAGGTAGATCAGCAGTGAGTGCTTGGAGCCACATTTCACCTTTCACATTCTCTAATCTAAACACAGATGCTAATTCTGTGTTCGATCCCATGTATATCATTTCAAGAACAATACAAATAATTGTGAACTGCCTTTAGCAATTTGTGAACAATTGGAGATGAGTTGCTGGGGAATAAAGCAGCCAAATCTGACAACTACTTAAGCAAAGCTGTTGAATAGCTTCCATGAATTAGCCATATAAATTGCTGCTTCAGTGATTCACCTGTCCCAAATTAACCCTAAAACAAAAGTGTATCTGTCTATATCCACTTACCAATATAGTGTTCTGACTGCTAACAGGGAGCCATTCATACAGTAAACACATTCATAAGCAAAATTATGCCCCGTATGGCAATTTTGTTTATAAACTTCCAGGCTCACAAAGAACTTAAGTAATACATTGCATTCAGCAGGGGCTGGCAATTGGTAACTCACAGCTGAATAGATTAACTGCTAATCCCTTTCAATAGCTAGCGACTATATTATGCACAGCATACAAATGAAGGAATATGGTTAACACACTTTATTAACAATAGCATAGCCCAAAGATTTGGGGGAGAATCTCAAAAAATGTTTTCCTCCCAAACTTGATACTAATTTTGTTTGCAATTTTTTTTGTAAGTAGAATAAAAGTGTCCTCCCATTTTCTCCATCCTTCTACATTTCTGAGTTTTATTCCAAAGCTCTTTGCTAAAGCTGATGAGCTGACATTTTTGAGGAACAATTCCTCACCTGTCATAAATACCTGATTGGCTTGGGGTTGTGTTAAAGTTTTGATGTGGGCCAACCAGAGAATGCTGGTTATGGTGCAGCATAGCAACGTAATATGTAGTTAGTTATTTGTATCCCACCTTTTATCCAGGGAGCTCAAGGTGGCATGCATGGCATCCCCATTTTATCCTCGCAAGAACTGTATGAGGTACTCCTCATGCTCCCTTATGACTGCTGCTGGACCCAGTTGCCCCGATGCTACTTCCAGAGGCAGATGCAGGCAGAAACTGCAGATCCATTCCAGCTTTTTTCTTCTGCCTGCCTCTCCCTTCATCTCATAGCTCTGTCTCTGTCTGAGCTGGCTGGCTGCAGAGGGGTGGTGGGAGGCAGCAGCTGGGGAACCCCCAAGGGAGGAAGGCTCAGAACTTGGGGATTGGTGGTGGGATGATGATGAGTGGTCAGAAAGAGAAGAGAGAGCAGACTGGGAGGAGGAGGTGTCAGAAGCAGGAGAGGTAATAGGGTTTAGTGAGCAGGAAGAGACTATGGCAAAGACCTGGACTATGCAGAATTAAACTAACAGGAAGGATTCAAAACCTGCGGGACCAGAGATTCTCAGAAGACTGGAGTAAATTTACGGACTATTTGAAAAGTAATTGTGATGGACAGATTATGCTAGTAGGTTTGCAAGAAGTTTTGTGAGGTGAATTATTTGAAATATTGCAAAAAAAGACAATGAGGAGAATTATTAGTTAAAGATAATTAAAGGTAATATGAAATTAAGAAATGCATAATAAGGAATAAGAATGGAAAATCATCAGAGGCATTGACAGAAGTCCAAAAAGTATTGTATAAGATGTGAAGTTCTGTTGGATGAATGTTAATTAATATGTTAAAAACTAATAAAAATGTATTTGATTTTTTTTTTAAAGAGAGTCTATGGCAAAGACCAGTCCAGAATCAGAGGTAGAAAAAGAAGGAGGGCTCAGTGGCAGAAATGAATCAGGCTGCTAAAGAAGCCAGGGTGTCTCCCCCTTCTGCTGCAACCAGCTCCCCTCCCCTCTTGGTCTCCCAGAACCTGCAGAGGTATGAAGAGAGCAGAGCAAAGACAGACAAGGTGAGGAAGTCTCAATGGCAGGTCCCAGGGGAAGAGGAGACTTAGGGAGTTGTAGGAAGGTGCGGACCTTCAGTCCTCACAACTGCCTCATTGGGGCAAGACCTACTGGGAAGAGTTGCTGTGCTCACTAGCCCTGAACTGTTTTGTTTCTTTGAATAAAATTGACTTCATGGATGCCTCGTGAGATATTGCAGACCTGCTCTTGCCTCCTGCCTTGACATCGGCTCACCACCTTTGGTGAAGATCTGTACTGGTGAGGGGCTGCTTTTGTAGCATGGAAGCAGGGAGGAGGAGGAGGAAGAGTCCAGTCTTCAGCCCTCCAGATCTGCCCTGCATCTGGTCAGCTTGGCACAGGCCTTTTTCTCTGCATGGCCGCTTTTGTAGTTGTTTTGTTAGCTTTTTGCCTCTTTGCCTCTTCCTTGTCCTTATTTGTTTGTCTTATCATTCCCTCCACTTCTTCCTTTGTTGAAATAAATAAATAAATTCCCTGAATGCACATTGTAATGAAATGTGCAGCACATGCCTGTGATAGAAATGGCTACTTGGACCACTTTTTTTTGTCTCTAATGTCTGAACAAACCTTAATCATGAAACAAAACAAAGTAAAAGACCCACCACAATGCCAGGCATGTACTCTCCATCTCCCAAGATATCCTTTGCTAGCAACAATTAGAACGCCAACTTTCAACTTCCTTCTAAAATTTGGACCAGTGATAAAATGAAAAGAGGCTATTAAAGGCCATATTCAAGGGTGAGACCTGAAGGGAACAGGAGAACAATCTCTTTACATAGCTATATCATATATTCTCATTGATGTTTCAACTAGAAGATCCTCACAGGGCAAAGCCTTGGAGACTGGCAACAGAAAGACTTGTATGTGCAACAAAAACACTGAATAAGAATGAATCTTTAAATTCAAGTGTGGATGGAGCTTCATCTTTATGTGTGTGTATAATTACAATCACTTTCAGGGAGGCATGCTAATTTACTTTAGAGGAGTGAGTTTCCTACTTTTGATGCTTCCTATATCTTGCATGGCTATACAGCATGCAGCTTTGACTTTCTGGATCCTTGTCCTCTAGGCATATTGAACCTAATTATTTCCAAAACATGAGTATTCAGTAGAGTGTGGAGAGCGCATCACTGCCATAAAAGACAAACAATTATCGACACCTGATGCACAGTTATACTCCCTGATCTACTCAGCCTCTTGGTTTATCCCAAAGTCAATGGGAAATTGCCAAAGATGCGGTAGGCGAAATAGCAAAAGGCTTCATGTCATTTCCATTAGGGTGCATTTGAGAATACCACTTCTAATGGATGTGCATTGCAAAGTGCTCGTGTCAGTTTGTCTTTGACCTTGCCTAATGCACTGGAAATACCTTGCGTGTATGTAACTTTTAAGTCTATTTGTTGCTTCTTTTCTCTTTTACACTTGAGTGTTTTTCCAACCCTGCCCATACCTGAGCACTTCACTGATCATAGCTGACAAAATATTGTACCATGAGTACTGTGTGTGTCTCTGTGTCAAAGAAGCCTTTAAGTAATCGGTTCTCCACTTCTTCAATTCTTTTGATAATCTCTATCTTCTGATTTTAGTTTTGACTCCGACACATTAATTGGGATGGTACAATCCTTTTCTCGGTTTTCTGCCTCCCTGTTCTTTCCTTCGGCCATCTTCTGCTTCTGGTGAGTGTGTATGTGTATCCCTTTCATCAGGGTGAAAAACAGCTGAGCCAACATTTAACAGAAGACTTTTTTCGTGAGAAAATGTCTGAGGTTTTTATCCTCTTTCCCCTTTCCACTAGAAAAAGGGTGTAGAATTGTCTCCAAATATTCTCCACATGGCAATAAATATATAATTTTCTCTGAAGAATTCAAGACGCTTTGCCTGAGGGCTTGAAATATGCTGCGTAATACCTGTTCTAAGCCTTCGTATGTTGCTGTTTTGTACTATGATGTAGCTTTATAGTATTTAAAGAGCAGTCTCAGATCATCTCCCCTTCTAGAGCAACAGGGAGGTGGACAGGGGCCTCCCAACAAGTTTCATTGCCCTAGTTCACAATCACAGGAATGGAATGGGTCTTATTGCACAATGCTCTGGCCACAACAGCTGCCCATCAGGTAATGTGTGATTCTTTAAGACTAGAATGCTATCATGGTATCTAACCATATGCTGGATAGTATGATAACATGCCCTGTTGACTGCTGGGCCCAAGAAGCTGCAATGCATTTTTCGCAAGGAACAGCTGGTGGCACACTCAAAGAATACAGCCTCATATAACCAAATGCTCAAGTCCAATTAATGCACGAAGGGGTTAATGCCATAGAGTAAGCTGTCCTGCCAGACTTAGCTAGGTCACTCCCCTTCTCCTTAGGAGGAAGGTAGTCTAGTCCTGTTATTCCCTCAGTCCACCATGTGTGAAGAGGTCTCAGCTGGTTGCTCCAGGCTCAGACTGCATGGCCTTTTTAAAAAGCCATCATTATGTTCCTATATAAATAATTAGGAACTTTCACCACTTGGGAACTAACCTAAGTTTTGCTGCCTATGTTTTCTGAATGCTGTATGGAAAAGCACATGAATCTGACCTTCAAAGATCTTGTAAGTAAACCATTTTTAACTTTCCAAATGTGTGGTGGTTTTCTATGCTAGAGGGAGTGAGAAGCTTTGGCGGGTAGAAGAGCATCTTTTAAAGGTCTAA